CACAGATGACACCACCAGAGAGAATGGGAGATTTTTCTCTACTTGCTTAACTTATACAGAAAACCGTAGCATTGTGTACATGAAATGCCTTACATATTAGCAGATTTGGATTTTGTTCACATTCAATTATTCTAACAGTGTTTTTACAATAAGCATCACATTTGAACCCATTTATGGTTGATTTAACCGTACCATCTAAATCTAGATCATAGTATGCGGGTCTTCTTCCCACGTGGTTTGGATTAGAATCACCATGATTTTTGTTGTTGATGTGTAGTGTGGTAGCTTTATCGGCGTTTCAAAAGCCCAATACTAAATGCTGTAATTGTTAATTGTATTGGATCACTAATTCTATAGTTAAAAACAAGTTCAAGAGAATTAATTTATTATTTATAACCAGGATAAATATTAACAGCTTAAAGTTATAAGTTATAATGTATCCGATAACCTCTCATTTACAGGGAGTTGCCACTATGTCATAAAGATATTAATAATTGAAATAGATATGAAACGATTTTAAGAAAGAGATATCTCCAAGTTTGTTTGGTTTTGTAGCTTTTAATATTTGAAAAGTATTTTTTTACTTTTCAAAAGTCATATGTTATTCGGTATTTATTGTTATGCAAACTAACTTTGAAAAGGCACATTGAAATGAGACCCAAATGTAAATCTGGGCAACTTGTTGGAGCTTTTCAAAATTTGAAAGCACGTTCCCTACTTTGACACTTCTCCATCATTCATTACTTTACCTTTTTTACCCTTCGATCCAATATTACCCTCCCTTACAAATTAAATTAAATTATAAATAAAATTTGTGATGAAGACTCTAACACTAGTTGAATTATACTCTTTGATTAACTAAGTGATTTTTACAAGATCAAATTAAGAAGCATGGTTAATTCAATGGCTTGATTAAAAATAAAAACATTCAATCTTTTTCATATTTAATCATGTGTTCCAATGAAAAAATTAGGTAAATAAAAAACAAATATTAAGAAGAGATACATTAAAAAACTAATAAATAATTAAATACTTTTGTATTTTAAAACATTCTAATGAACAGTTCGTGATTAATTAAAGACCATATTGTATATTATATATCGAACAATTAATCATGTTAATTTTCAATATTAATGTATGTTAAATTATTTATTATATAATTTTTTCTAATATATCAAATTTTATATTATTTAAAATTGTGATCACATTTTTAGACATTTTAATTATATTACATTTACAAAACAAATTAAAAACATCATAAATGAACATCTCTTTTGATAATTATATATTTAAAAACATATTTATTATATATAATCTAAATAACTTTTAATTTATCAAATTGACTTTTAAAAAGATGTATCTAAACACAACTTTTATTATACCAACTGACTTTTAATAAATTAACTTTTATTAAATGAATTTTAATAAACAATTAATTGTAGAATTGTACGTAGTGGACCTAACTACTATAATCTCACACAATAGAATAGATAATGTCTCATAATCATAAAATATCCATACCTCAATTTCACTTGATCATGAATTCAAAATCGCATTATTCAAATTAAATCAGGAACGATTAAATATTCGCCTGCTCATTAAATGAATTAACATGGATTAATTCATGCATGAGATTGAGTTGGCCCTTAGCTCTCTCTTTTTTCTTTCTTTCCCCCTTTTTTTAATGTGCGTGGGGCTTTGGGTTTTGTGGGGGGGGGGGCGAATGTCCCGAATATTTCAAATGTGTTATAGAGATGGAAATTATTACCATCATATTTTATTTCGTTCCGTGTTTTTACATTTTTTTTAAATCGGGAGTATGCATCGTTAGTACTTCCAAAATATCCAAAATAAATATTTTGGTGTGTGTTAGTGTGGTCCATGTCTGTTACTCTCCTCTTTCGGATAACTGGTCACTCTTTTTTATAGGAGAAATGGTAAGTATTAGTTGTATGTGAGTTGTGTTGTGTTTGTATGTGATCCATTTAAAAAAGACAAAATAAATATTTACCAATAAAAAAAATAAGTAAGTAAAAAAATAAATAAAACTTCCCCAACTTCTACAAAGAAGCGTTTTGGCCACATCTCTCTCATTAATCCTCGGCTGGAAATTGATCATTTTCTGCATCGTTTAATGGAAGCATCAACGATTTCACTTAATTTCAAGACATTCTTAATCTACACATGACCTTTTGCCCTCTCTAGACCCCACACACAACCTCAACCAACCCAGTAATCTTGGTCTGTTGATCTCAATTATGCATTATTTCAATATTACTCCCAATAGCGCAGCAGCCAAGATTTGCTTGTATTTTCTGTGTTGGCGGGTTTTTCGGGTTTATGACGTCTTGTTCACTGTGATGGAGTCATGGAGAGAGAAAGTCGTAGAGGAGAGAGAGTGGGTTGTTGGATCTTGGATGAGTGAGTTGAGCAGGAAGTAGACACATACAAGAATGACTTGTTTAAAACATAAAAGAGGGCCAATTTTGTCTTTACAACTAATTAGGCCCTTCAATATTATAGTTCTCTCGCTCCCTGTTTAAATATCTAATAGGTAGCATTCAGGTTTTAGAAGTTTAGTGCTGTACTTGTATGATGTCCAGTTCACTTCATTGCCTGATGGATACGGCATACAACAAGTAAATTATATTCTACACTGATCAGGAGCATCATAAGGACATCACAATAATATTAGGGAGAATAGAACATAAAAATTTGCATTTAAGGCTCAATATAATCTGAAATATTTATATATAATAAACCTTGTTATTTACTTTTGTTAAATCAGTGTCCCTCTCAACTGAAATACATTGAACCTCTTTAATCATATAATACATAAAACTATTTATATGTAATAAACCTTGTTTCCTAACCTTTAATTATTATATTACTTGTTAATTGTATAACTTTATTTATTAATTCTTCAATATGATTTGTTATTTACTTTTTTAAATCTATGACTTCTTAACTACATTGCTTGCTAATCGCATGACTTTTTACTTATTAATTCCACAACAGAACTTGTTAACTGCTTAATTTTACTTATTCGTAACTACTACAATAGTACTTGTTAATTATTTAACTTGTTAAATCTATGATTTCCTAAATTGAATTACATTACTTGTTATGCATAACTTTACCTATTAATTTTTAGACAGGGCTTGTTAACCATTTAACTTTACTTGTTAATCCATGACTCCCTAATTAAATTCAACTACATTACTTTGTTAATTTCTCAACTTTACTTGTTAATTCCACAATAATATTTGTTAATTTCATAATTGACTTGTTAATACCATGGCAACACTTGCATAATCCGTTGATTTGAAAACAACTAAATTATTTACTAATTGTGTAACTTTAATTGTTAATTATTCAACAACACTTGTTAATTATTTAATTTTTACTTATTAAATCAGTGCCTCCCTAAATTTGAATTCTATGACTTATTAATCATATAAGTTAACTTTATTCAATTGAATTACATTGCTTGTTAATCGCATAATTTTACTTGTTAATTTTTTAACAAGGTTTGTGAATTACCTAACTTTACTTATTTTAACAAGTCCGCATTTTGTGATAATAATCAAGATGTTTGGATACAAAATTTATTTTATATATATATATATATATATATATAAAATCATGAGGGAGTCACAATTTAACATGTGAAGTTAAGTAATTAACAAGTTTATTAAAAATTAATAAATAAAGTTACACGATTGACAACTAATGTAATTTAGTTAGTTAATTCATGGATTTAATAAGTAAAGTTAAGTAATTGACAAATTCAGTTGAAGAATTAATTAGTAAAGTTATATGATTAATAAATAGTGCAATTCAGTTAAGAGAATCAGATTTAATAAGTAATATTAAGTAGTTAATAAATCTTATTGAGGAATAACAAGTAAAGTTACGTGATTAATAAATAATATGATTCAGTGAAGAGAGTTACAAATTTAATAAGTGAAGTTAAGTAATTAACAAGTCATGTTAAATAATATATTAATAGATACGTGATTAAACAAGTAATGTAATAATCAAGAAGTCTAAAAACATTTTATCATATATATACGTGTATGCATTATATGATTAAAGAGCTCCAATGGCTTGATAGTCATTCACCTTTTGGTGAGTCAAGAGATCATGGCCTCATGAGACTAAACCTTCTTGACTACCTTTGAAAAATTTAATTTTTCCTAATCCACTAGCCACTACCAGTTGAGCCTTCATCGTCAAAGGTCCAACGACTGTTGTTGCCAATGAGACTTTCATCATTGCTAGCATTCTATGAAATAATGGCTGGTGGTTTTTTCTTCTTTTTTTGATAAATGAATGGCATTTTGATCATTTCCTACAAAAATTAATTTTGACTTAATCTTTTGGTCTTGCAATGTAAGTTTAGATTTTATTGAATTCAATTTGTAAATAAGTCACATACTTGATCCTTAAACAAAATTCTGCCTATTAAAAATTAAAAATACGTTTTCAAACTTAAAAATAATTTTTAGACAATAATTCGTTAGGTTTATTTTTATTAAATACATAAAGTAAAATAAGAACTGTTGTAACTTTAATAATTCTAAATATAAATTAAAGTTCTCAATACAGTAGTAAAACAAAATTAATAAAAATTTTCATACAAAATAAAAATAAACTTGTTTTAAAGCCAATTTATCTATAATTTTATTTTAATTTTGGAAGGTAATAGTGATATAAATATTACATGAAATTGGCTACTCCTATTTAGTATTAGAAGTTTTAAAAAAAGGTTCAATTCAGTTAAAAAAATAAAAAACAATGTTTGATGAGATTAAAATAAAAAAAAAAACTAGGTTTAATAGGATTAAATACTAAATTATGCAATAAAAGGACCCAACCGGGTTCGAACCGATGATCTCTTGATCTGCAGTCAAATGCTCTACCACTGAGCTATGGACCCTCGATGAAGTTTGGTTCTTTTATTTTTAAGGTAGTTAATTCGAGGATACCGTCACCTCCCCGCCTCTCCATGCTCCCCTCCCATCCGTATTTCCCCGCCGCTGTCTCTCTTTCCTACCAATCTCCGACGCAGCGCGCACCACGATAATGGTTTCGCATTACGGCATCAAATTTGCCGTCCATCTTATTACCAATCACTTTGGCAACCTCGTTGCTGTAATTACCTGTCAACCCTTGGCATCTCCTCGGTTATTTTTTCTCAATTTCGTTTCAACGCTGCGTGTTTGTGCAGAAAGTATGCGAATGCCTTCTTAGGAGGGGACCCCTCACTTTGGAGCAATTGGTTCGGTTCACCGAGCTTACCAAGGAGCAAGTCAAGAACTCCCTACTTGTCTTAGTCCAGCACAACTGTGTTCAAGCATTTATTCTTGAACAAGAAGGTATATAACCATTTTGTTTGTACTTTGCACAAGTTATTGCTTCGTATCATTCTCTGTTTTCGATTAAAATGTAGGAGGAATGATGCAGTTTGAAGTAGTTTATGGCTGCTTGGAGCTTCCTCTATCACTATTGTGAAGATCATATTTTGTGACTTATTATTGTGGGTTTGATGAAGGCTCAACGATTTTCTTAATAGAATCAAAATGAATTGAAATTTCAAATGAGAATTTTGAGATTGAGCATGTGAATGAGTATCAATCATATCAACCAGCAAGCCAGTCTAAATCTGCCCTGGGCATAGATTAGAACTTTTCCTTCTCTCTTAATCATTTTAGACAGTTCATGGATGTGCAACATCAAAGCAGGTGAAAATAATCGAAGACTTTGATTGACGAGTTTTCAAATTAAACGCCCAATATTTTGGAAATTGTATTTGTTTGCAATTTATAAGTTAATCAAATCAGTAGTTGGTCCGGGTGGATGATCAGCTACAATCGGACTGAGACATGGCCTAGACTTCTATGGAATGTAGCAGGTGGGATACCCTATTGAAGTAAAGAACCATGGGATATATGTTTGGAATATATTCCATTTTGAGAGAATAATCGAGAAGTGATAGGAATAAGGAGTGTTTGTGCACATGCTACCCTTAACGGTTGAGAAAGAATATAGCTTACGGACCTTACGCACGATTCTATTGAAGGTCAATCTTTTGAGTCCTTTTCTCCATAGCTTTTCCCGGTTTTTACTTTAATTAGTAGTAATATCGTATGGCCTAAAATTTTTTATATATGGAAAATGTGTTAATGTTAATTAAATAATGGAAAAGGATTACTATCTATTTAATGAAAGAAAAATAATTGAATTGAGAGAAGTTAATGTCTGTTTCTTTCTCATCGTTAAAATGATGAATGCTAGAATCAAAAGCACAAACAAGCAAAAAATGAAACTATAAAATGACAAGACAGCATGATATCTCAATACATACAAAAGAAATTTTGGTGACCTGAAAGCATATGCTTGAATTTGTACATTTTTATAGTTTGCCGTCAGAAAGTAGCAACAGGATTTTGAGTTTGTGCAACCTGAGACCTTGAGGTAGAAAAGTGAGAGGATAAACATGAATTTTGTGGGACAGGTTAATAAATACTAAAGCCACTGAATTTATATAGGATAACCGCAATGTCATTTAAGAAGGAAGAAAAGTATTGATGCATTTTCTGTTGAGAGATGGAGGAATTTATTTGGGAGAGAATTTAGGTGATAGAAGTACATTGTAGTTCTATATAAAGAGGGAATAAACAACAATATGCTTTCATGTTCATACCTTCTGAATTTGCAAAATCATGGAAACCACACAGGTCTATTGGCAAAAACTCTGGTTTCCCTTGTAAAAACAAAGCATGCTGATTCTTTAAGAGATTGTTGATGGTCAATGCTCTTACTGATCAATAGAGAAAATAGAGAAAATAACTGATATAGGTTATGAATATTTTCTAGTCATTCTGAATATTTCTTAGCTATTTTCTTGTGTCAGCATGTGTGTAGGGTTACAGTGGGAAAAATAGCAATATTTTCTCTGATGATTATGCTGTGTAAACAAGGAGTTTATATCAAGACCCAATATCATAAATAATTTCCCCATTTCCCATTGCATCCCCATACATGTGTTGACATAAGAAAATGGCTAAGAAATATTCAAAACGACTAGATAATATTCATAACCTATGTCAATAACTGAAATATGGGAGCTACTCTTTATAAGGACTCAAGATTGAAGATAAGCATAAGAAGGTTGTTTGTAAATAGAATGTGGGTGACATGTGTTCATCAAAAAACTTTGTCAAAATTTGGATGAGCCACTTGACAGAAAATAGAGGCAGTGGCTACCAAGAAAACTTTGGTAAGTTGAAATAAAATGTAAATATGTGCTAGTTATACCTCATCAAATTGGATTTTTGGGCTCAAAATGTTAAAATCAAAAGTTTCTCGTTTTGTTAAATTTTATATATATGTATATATCATGGAATTACATCTATTGTGTGATTTGTGTCTTAATTTATTTATTTATTGATGATTTATTTCCTAAATACATGTATTATCAAATGTTGATTTCATGATAGCGTGCGTGTTGTTTGTTTTTTGCCTCAAAATTTAATAATTTTTCTCAAAGTTGCTGCCCTGACTAGTAATAAATGTAGGTCGTGAAGGATCAAAAGTTAATACACAGTACTTGGCACTATTTGATAACATACTCCATCGATTGAGATTTCCCAAATTCTTGGAGATCGTTTCACAGGATCTTGCTGAAGAAGTTAGTTTTATCATGACCCTTATGTTTCTAGGATTTTCAATTCAGTTTAAGCTTTGAATGCTGAGTATATTGGTGATTGGTATTGCAGTGCGTAGAGCTTCTTGAGGGATTGCTTCGTGATGGTAGACTAACTCTGAAACAGATGGTTGACAGAGCAAGCCAAAGAAAAGGTTACTCTTCCATGATGCACATGCTATATTGAATATTATGTCTTTATATGGAAATGAAAACCGTAATGTGAGAGGGATTTTTTATTTCTTCAGTTGGATTTACATATTTACTGTTATTGTATTTTTTACTCATGGCTCCATGTAACAATACAGTTTTGCTGGATGCATTCATAAAGTATGAGGATTGATTGATAAACTACTAATCTGTAGTTTCTTTCTTAGTCTTAAAGAAAATATCACTTACAAAAGTCATGTAGCATTATAGTTAGGCCCCAAATTTGGCTGCTCTTGTTACGCACGTGCTCTGCTCTAAGTGATTGTTGTATTTATCTGGCCAAGCAAATTGATTATAGAAAATGAAATTTTATGACATAATAGTTGGTTAATTCTTCTGGCATAGGCGTATAGTTTGTTTACTACATAAAACAAGATACAGCTTGTAAGGTGGAATGTTGCTCAACTGGTATTCCCTCAAACTTGGGAAGATTAATGAATTTAAATTGGCCTTTTACATGTCAAAACCTATTTAATCAGTTTTATTTGATTTGTTTTGATTGTATTATTTTTTTCCTCTTGCACGTGCTTCTACAATATTGTATATGACTAATTCATCCAGTGGGATTGGGGGAGCTTGGCTGCATGAAATTTCTATCTTTTATCCTTTTCTGTTCTTGTTTTGATTTTACTACTCTATCTTAGGCGGATATTGGTTTCTCGTCTCATATTTATTCTCCTTTTGAATAATTCTTTTCTCTAAAATTTTCCTATGAATGCATGCCTTTGGTAATGTTGTTTGGAGGAGTGACTTAGAAATATCTCTCCTTTCAGTTTCTATTTTCCTTCATTTATTAATGGGTTAGCTCGGTCACTTCTATTTTCTCATATAGATGGACGCTTTTTCTAAGAATTTGGGACAACATTTTTCTGTATTTGATCCTGGAGATATTTGTGCATTATGCACCATGTACTTTAAACACAAATAAGAGCCACCAGATCCTACTTTGTTGATCAAAGAATATCTGTTTTAAATATAAATGTCTTAGAGGCTGCAATACTGGGGGTGTGGTATGATCAGGGTTTGACGCAGAGGTAGGGTTCCCAGTGTGCCACTTAGCTAGAATTTGTGGGACATAAGGAGTGGGCATAACTGGCTTGCTATTTCAAGTAAATCCCCTCGAATTAGTTCTTCTCAAATCAACGGACTTCTACTTTCAGAAAATGCTGTGGCCTTGGCTATTGTACAAGAGAGCCTTCATAAACTCTTAATGGTTCGATATGTTGAACGCTGCCCTTCCCCTGAGCCGGTTGTTTCTCCTCTAGTTGAGCAGGATACTAAAAAGCGAGGTGCTAAGTCCAAGGTAATTGTTGCTTCATCTCAACATCTTCAGTTAACTATGTTGTACTTCCGTTGATTAAGGATTAATAGCTGATTCTTTTTATTTCGACCAGTAGTGCTAATTCACTGATGATTGTCTTCAAATCGTGATGACAGATACTGTGGTGCATCTTTTCATTTTAGGGAAGAGGATCTATTTTCAAAATTAAGCAGAGGATTGTATGATTTAGATATCTCCCAAGAGAGGGAAGAATAATTTTTTATAAGAAAAATCTAGCTATCTATCAATGATACATAACCAAAAAAAATATTTTTTATGTTCGAAATAAATCAACTAATTATAACGAAAAGTTGAACTTATTTTGTGTGCATGTGTGCCCATGCATTTATATTTTTATTAATACATATAACTAGAGTGTACTTTATGCATTTTCATTGGGCCCAAGATTAGTTACATTACTCATGGCTTCTAAACATTGTGATTTCCAGTACTTTGTATATTTTGTATTGATTTATATTGATTCTATTTCATGAAGAAAAATAAATTGTTTTAAAACTGATATAATTTGATACAAATAATTTTAGCCTGTCATTTTGTTAAATAATTTTTTTAATCAAATTTAGTGTTTGCCAAACAAAAATTTATTAATTGTTGATATTCAACCAAACTTTATGAAATTGATGGATATTGGCCAAAAAAATAAATATGTGCAAATAAGTCTCGCTTCTGTGGGAAGTCAATAGAAATAAATGTTTTAACCTAGCTAACAAGATAACGTCAGATAAAATTTGCCCAAAAAAGTCAACAAGAGTTGTTAATATCTTATCCATGAGCTCGCATAAAAATATATTTGCTCACTATGCTATCACATTATTTTGTAACATAGGCTTCAACATCAACTTTTCTACTGGGGTGTGAGTTAAATTGCATGTGTTTTCTTTTTTTCTTTGGGGGAATTACTCCTGGGTCCCACACAACATCCTAAAATACCATAAAATCCATTGACAACTTGAGTATAGCAAATTGACAACTAACAACTAACATAGCAAATTGATAAGATTGTTTTTCTCCGGTTCCATGTTTGGTCTTGTTTAATAACTACATGGTCTCTTTCTATGACAATGAATCAATGATTTGATATCGTCTTTTGCACTGAAGCTGAAACACTGAAACATTCAATTAGGTATCCCAAATATGAGTTCTTTTGATGCTCTTTCTTTTGGTAATCAATGCTTATAGATAGCTGAAGAGCCAGAGAAAATAGAATATCGTGTTTTAGAAGCAGCTGTGGCTGTGGAAGGAATCAGGTTTTCTCTCGCATCAAATTCTGTATTAATAAATGATTCGGACATTTCCCCCGTGAGAGGTGTAGGAGAAAATGTTGGTAAGACTGCTGTCATATTGAGTGATCAGACGAACTAGATTTACTTATTTCCTGTTCACTATAGGTATAGCTGAATTATGATTATCTGAATTGCAGCACAAGAGGATTCAACTCTTTTTCGTGCCAATTTTGAAGAGTTTGTACGCCGTTGTAGGCACAAGGTTGGTTTTACTGTGTAATGTCCTGTTGCAACTTCTTTCTGCTGCTACCCGTTACATTTTCCTGCAAATCCTATCTTAAATGCCTTTCCCCTTTCCTTTGAGAAAAAATCTGTATGTTTTGATGTTGTCTCTGTTTTTTTTTTTTGAGTCATGGAGATTTGAGCTTGAGACCTCCTTCATAATTAGGTTGTAATGTGTATCTGTTTTGTACCATGGTTTAATGAGTGATGATGGGAGTTGAATTTAAGTTGTTTCTTTCTCCCAAAAGGCAGTCAGTGTGATTTACAAGATGTCAAATGCGTACTTCTAATTGTTGGAAGTCAACGGAAAGTAACTAATCATAAAATCCCATAGGTTACTTTACTGATTGACATTGAGTTGCTTTTCCTTTGTTCCATCTACTTTATTCTCTTACTTGATTTGGATGTGGCAACCAGGGACTATGTCCATGTGTTGCCTATTCTCTTGATTATCTTAATCATATTAGCAAAACATCACAACATTATCAGGGATCTGACGGAGTAATTCATTGTGCTTTTAAAACGAAGACATTTTGTCTCCAATTTGTCTTTCCTTAAGGAATCATCATCAATATCATTATTGAAAGGATGCACTTGTATGCTTATCTTAGGTATTGATTGAGAACGCTAGAAGACGATGGAATGATGAAGCTGCCACTGTCCTAGGGGCAATACTGGAGGCAACTAAAACTGTGGAGAAAAAAGTGAAAATGGAGAATACAGGTGAACCAGATCTCTTGCTTTGTGAATTTAGAAACATAATGTATATTTGCATTGCATTGACTACTTTAATTAGTATTACTCATGGAATATAATAATTCTGGTTTCATGTTCTTGCCTGTTGAAACTCAATGATATGGTGAAACAAAAAATGAGTGGTCAATCATCTGGATTTGTCTGTCATGCATATTTATTTATTTTTACTATTTACAATGTGTTTTTGTTAAGAGTGTTTAAAATTTAGTCATATATTAGAAATTCAATTTCAGTAGCTGTAGTAAGAGCAGTAGTAGCTTGGAAACACCAATTAATTACATGGACTACTATTTACTGCTTTATTTTTGCATCATCCATTTTATTATTTCTTTTACTGTTATGATCTATTAATAACATTTTATATATCTATGGTTTAGAATTAAGTCACAATCAATGTGTCAATGATTGTTGATGAAACACCATTTTTTAAGTCACGCTAAATATTTGTAACTTCTACCTTCATCATTTTTCCTGTCCCATATTTTCATTTTATTCCAACGGTTATGTTATTTTGCTCCCCCTATTTTTGTAATCTTAAGCAACCATGTCTTTCAAGATTTTTTTGTTTCTTTTTTCTGTAATGCTAAATTCTGAGAAATGGAAGTGAAAAATGTATGTTTTCTATGTCTTCACTGTCAAGACTGCTGTCTCGAGTCTTACAGTGGTTCTCCCTTTGTTTCAGTTCCATTGACACTCGATGCTATTTTCACTGAGGTACAAAAGACTGAAAATGGTCGTGCTATGACCATGGAACGTGTTAGATCTTCTCTTATTGAGTTGGGTTGCCCGCAGAGAATGTTAGATGATTCATATAGTATTGGTGCAAATCTAATCTCTTTCTCTCATGTTATGCTTTACTATGTGCTATGAACTAACCACTTTTAGTTGATTTATTTATTTCCGCTTGAGACTTCATCTTTTCCTTCTTATATACTTTTCCAACAGTTTGTTTTTGACGATTCATTTTTTTTTTTCCAGATCTGAAAAAAATTATTGAGTCAGCTCGAAATGAAGAGGTTTTTATCTGTTTTGTTGCATAATACCATTTGGCTTTAGTAAACTGTCTCATTTCTTGTTCCATCTTGCAGGTTGAGTCAATTGTATTGAAAAGGTACGGAAGGGATGCCTACAGGATGTTCAGATTGTTATCGAAGGCTGATCGTCTCTTGAGACTGATAAGGTGGTTTTCTCTTGTTGGCAGATTAGGACTCTAATTCAATTAACATGGATATGAAAATTCAATACTGAACTTATGTTTTTGAAAAATTTGGCGCTGAATATTTGATTTTTTAAAAGAGTTCCATTTGAGCCTTGAATTTCTGCCCAAGGAAACTATTGAGATTTTGTTAATTAAAATGATGTGATGAAGCAAGAGTCAGACAAATATTAACGGGAAGCTCTTACTGCTTAAAGCATTTAGTGACCTAATATGCTTGATTGTTTTTACTTCTTTTCCACTTGTTTGGTTCTGGTTAAATATCAAAATAGCTGCTAACGCAATTTCAATGTTGCAACTTACCATTTTCAGCACTTAAATAGATTTTTAAGCTGTCCTTGCTCTGTTAAATTATAAAACCCATATCAAAAGATATGGATGTGTAAGTATATAACAACTGACTTTATCTAACACACTTTCAATCTGAAACTTACCATGTTCAGCACTTAAATTGAGTTTTTAAACAGATCTTTACTCTTCGATTAAAAAAAAAAAAAACCTTGCCAAGAAATATGGATTTATCGAATATATAACAATTGACTCTTACAGTTCTAGATTATTATTATTTTTCTTTTGTCCATAGTCAAGTTTGAAAGTGCTGGCCAAAGAAGAAAAGAAAAGAAAAGAAAAAGAGAAGTCAAGTTTGAAATTATAATTCGTGAAGTTACCAATAATCTCTTAAGTATAAGATGTTGATATGTGTATATATATATATATAGAACTTAATGTTCTGACATCGCTTGAGAACAGTCGTATTGAATGCACCAGGAAACAATCGATATGTATACAAGATACTGAAATAAAAAAAAAAAGGAAAGTCAACATTACCTAAATTAAAATTAATGGTAATAATAAGGAAACTAAAGTGTAAGCAAATAATGAATAATATTTATGTAAGGGAAGGGAACGTGCATTAGTTGAGCACATGACTATAGAAACAACTACAGGTATCTCAATGTTAAGAAAATTTTAGCAATTGCAAGGATGAGCGACTTAGTGCATATTAAGTTTGATATTTTGTGGTATCCAATAGTTATCCTAGAAAATGTTTGTTTTAGTTCTGCAGTCACTGTGATACTCTTGCTGTTTATAAATGCTGAATGAGCTGCTTCTGATGGGATGGTGCTAGCGGTAGTTTGTTGCTTGAAGGAGCAAGAAGGGAATATGGTGGGCATTTAACCGAATTATGAATACTATATGTAAAATGATGTAGATGACTGTATTTGATATTTAATTATTATTTGGCAATGTTACAAGTACCCATAGACCATAACTGGTCTTTGACAGACAAGCAAATGAAGTTGGCTTTGTTGCCTTTTTGATGGTTCAGTTTGAAAAGTTCTGATTGAAATAGTCATGTCAACTCATGTTATCATTCAAGGAGGCCAGTTAAAAAAGTTTATCATGAATCAATTTTCAAATCTGTAATATTTATCGCCTTGAAGGCGTTATGTAGCTAGGACATTGTGTTAGTTGATGAGTGGTAACTGGTAACAAAGACAATTTGAGTTGGATAAAGGTTGGAATAAACAGATTACGTTCTGGAAATATGGGGTAGTGGGAGGAGTCTTCTACCTTGGACATATCATAAAAAGGAGTCTTATCATCTGATATTTTTATCTGAATTTTTCTGGAAATTCATGTCATGGAACTCACAAAACACATAACTGAAAGCACATCGACAACTCTGCTTAATTGTTCAGTTATCTATTTGCTGATGCTACAAACTTGGATGACTTGAACTTCTTGGTAGATAAAGCTGACTAATTATGAAGTGTTTTACTTCTATTAATAACGGTTATGATATAAGAAAGGGGGGATTGTTTCAGAAAAATCTTATCAGTATGAGATTGTATGTTGGAATATGGAACATCAAAGGGTTCCTTGGATTCTAATATTTACAATACCTTGAGTGACAAATTTTGTTTATATTATGTGCTGCAAACTTCTGTGTATTAATGAAATATCCAATCTCATCAAACAAGTTCTGCTTGTATGCTATTTTATCCAAACATTAGGAAAGAAAAGAATAAAAAGAGAGAAGCCCACAACTTATATTCGTGATTTATATGGGAGTTTTGCCTGAAGCCTCCCCCCCCCCCTTCTTCACATTGTAGATGGCATGATTTTCCAATCATTACTCATACATCATACACCTATGTTGGAAAACTAAGCACTGTATCAACCAACTATTTATGACGATTTTAAAATTTTCTTTTCCTCGTAGATAGCAGAGTCTACTTTTGTTGAAAAAAAGGATACTCCAAAGATACTATACAAGTTATGGAAGGATGACTACCTGCATATGGAGGTGACCAATCTCCTTTTAAAATTTTCAGCCCACCAGAAATCAACTTGTATTTGTTTACTGATTTGTTATCCCAACTTAATCTTCCTTGCAGAAATTGGTTGTGACTGGAGCTAGGCAATCGAAGTTCTTGTTGTGGAAAGTTAATAAGCCTATTTTGTGGGAACACGTACTAGATGAGATGCATCATGCTGCCTTAAATTTGAGCCTAAGACTGGCTTATGAACAGGAAAAGGACGAAGAGGTTAGTAAGCACATGAACATTAAAGCATTTAGGTTGCCTGTCCTTGAAAAACTTTTTATATGCATTTTTCTTTTTGCGATTCTGAAGTGATCATGGTCCCAAAAAATTGTGGGTCTTGTTACATGTTGTGTCCAGTTATTTTGGAAAACTAATTAAATATACAGATATACTTGTCAGTCTTGCCTTGTGATAGAACACTCTATTCTCTGTTACAAAAAAAAAAAAAAAAAAGGAAGAAAGAAAGAAAGAAAGACGCTCTATTCCATTAAGCTTATAACAAACAAACAAACAAACAAAAAAAAAAAAAACACTACAATTAATGTGGAACTGATAACACTATTGCTGGATAATGAAGTTGGATTACAAGATAAATAATCATTGAAGCCAATCCCATCTCCCTTATACTCACTCCCATATACTGGAACTACAATCAAATAACAGTTACAGAGTACAGGGAACAGCTCAAAATCAACACTGCATAACAGCAACGCAGAACATAAACCTCTGGACTTTTGAGAGGCCAGTACTCTCCCAAACACACTTCACTGACCAAAGATTGAACTCCCCTCCCGCTGGACAAAAGGAAAAGATTTGAAGAGCCAAAGACTAGTCATGACCCCTTCAGCACTAACCCATACCTTTGGCAACACCTAACCTGACTTGTCCTTTACGGTTTTAATCGTACAGTAATAAACCTTGGAATAAATCTCTTGACCACTGGTGTTAGTTCTCTCTAAATCACTTCCCTTCTCGATTGTCTACCATAGGTCTTAGGAAGTGAAAACATCCAAATCTTGCGAATCACCAGCTCTATCAACTTGCTTGTGGTTGCCACTTGAGTGCCAATTTTCTTCTTTTGTGATGGAGCGAAAATAAACTCCGATGAGGGGCCAAAGCAAATCAATGATAACAGAGCAGTTTTTCTATCTAAAATATTAGATGAAATGCTTTTGTTACTTCTATATGTTCACAGCCCAAAACCCTAAAGTATCACTAAAGATGGATTTTGTTTTTGGTCTTCTTTCTGTCAGGTTTGGTTAAATATCAATAAAATACTATGCGGTTGAAAGTATCTTACTCAGTTCCTCTGTGGTTTATTCCATTATTGTTTAATCAAACCGGTAATTTTTGTCTTGACTAGATATACTATGTAGGCCCTATGTTGCATGAAATTTAAGGTGAGCTGCATTGTTTATGGCCTTCGAACAATGCAGCTCTGTAGAGGTTATATATATTGATGGTTTATAGAAATTATCACTTAAATGTTATAATGATGAACAATTTTCACTGTTGAAAAAACACGGTGAAAATATTCAAAATATAACTAAAAGCGTAGTTGTCAAAATCATCCGATACACACTCTAGGTGTAAGTGTAGTTCTTGAAATCCTCAGTGGAGGCGAACGTAGTTTACGCTGTTTTAATATTTAATTCGAACTTGAACGCTATGTAAACATTCTTTCCCTCCAGCTGATATATTGAAAGTGAATGTGTATACTAAGCTTCAACTAAATGTGTGGTAACTGACTATGAACAGTTGGCTAATATGTTGTCACTTCTCAGTTTATTCCAATCTATTGTACTTGTGTCCTGCATTCAATTTCAGTATAGCCATTGAGTTATATTAAAGATGATATTGCCACTTTGTTGCAGCTCTTGAATGTCCCCAAGGACAAGATTGTGGGGCAGCTGCAGAAGAGATACAAACGGCTGAGAAATGCCTGGTTACTACTGGAATCCTCATTGATGAAACTTGATGATGCTTTGATGCTTTTCCATGATTTCTGATTGTAAATTGTTATTTGTAATCTCTACATGAAGGTGGGGAATGCGCAAGGGAAACTTTTTTGTTTTCATGGCTTAAGTAGAATAGGTCAAGCAGTTAGGAAGAATATGGTTTCAAATATCCTGAAGATTTTTCTTTGAAGAGTGGCGTCGATCTGGCCATTCTTCTATGACTTTGCAGAACCTCATGATAGTCAGATCCATTGGTTTTTCTTTTTGATTGCACCATTGGTATTATTTTGGGAAAATGGCAGAAAATTTTTACTAAAATATGCAAATGATAATGAGATATGTGAAATGTGATAATTATTTTCAAATCTCTAAAAATCTTTTACATTAATTTTTTTGTAAAACAACTATAATGGATCCAATTTACAAATATCCATCTCACTAGGTGGGGTTGGTTACATAGATTGCAAGACGTCATTGTGTTCTATCATTTATTTTTGTAAAACAACTATAATGGATCCAATTTAAAATAAAATAAAAAATGAAATGGATCAGTGTTAAAGAGTTTGCAGAGCAGAAATTATCATCTACTATCCTTTCTAAGTCATTATCAGAAGAAAGATAATCATTATTTCAATTAGTGATTGATATTTACGATATTTAAATTTTAATGATTAAATAATTTGCATATGGACAAGTTATAATTACTAATTTTATTTACTCATTATAAAAAAAAGTCATTACTTAAATTAAAGTAATAGCTATTATTTATAACATTTAGACTTTAGGAATTAAAACATTTGCTTGGCAGAATTTGTTATTCATTATCCTATTTTAGTCTTTTTTTTTAAAAAAAGTAGTTATTATTTAAATTAAAATAATCATTGATATTTATAACACTTAGCATTAAAGTTATTTTACAAAAGACATTAATATTAGAAAGGTCTCTAAAAATTTGAGTAGAATTATTATTATTTTGTGGGATCTTATTATTCTGTGCATATTTTAGGATAATTTTTCTGTTATTTTCAAATTTTAAGTGGAAAACGTTTCGATGACGTCCAACAGGTCAGTTTATTTTCATCTGATATTCTTTCTTTCTAAAAGATTTAGCTAAGTTTTTGTTTTCAAATTTTATCTATTTATATTGTAAAGCACACTGTTCAAATCATTGTAGATCTACAGCTTGAAGCCTTGAACAGTATACTTTTCTTTCTTTTTTTTCAAATTAGTTAATGGATGATTTTGTTAAAAATATATATAATTGTGAGACCAATGGTAAAATTGTTGGTGTGGGGCCTATAATTTAATTACTTAAAAATTTTGATATAAATTTATAAATGTTAAAAATTTAGACAAGGTGTAAAAAATAATAAAAATTTTATATTTTAAAAGATTATATAAGATCTATAGTAAAAATTTGTGACGAATATAAAATTTTTAGTAAAAATAGTAAATGTCAGTTATGCAAAGAAATTACTAATAATAAAATAATGAATGTGGGACCTGTAATTAAATTTATAAAATTTGTTTACATAAGATGAAAACCTTTGCTATATAAATTCCCATTATAAATGTTAAAATTTTAGACAAGGTGTAAATAGAAAATTTTTATATCTTGAGAGATCATATATGATCCATAGTAAAAATTAAATGTAGATATAAAATTCTTAATAAAAATAATAGATATTAGATATGTAATAAAATTTATATGGGGATAACACGATTTAAATAAAAAAACAATTTATTATATATTTATTATTAAGAAAGGCTAATAAATAAATCATAAAATAGTTTGTGTGAGAATGTATAGAACAAGTTTTTATTCATATTCTTCACATGCGTAAGGTATAAAATCTATTATTTTATTATTTATATCTAAAAGTAGATTATGGTTTGAAAATTTATGAAAAACATTGATGTAATTATGTGTTTTAAGTCTAAGCAAAAAAATTACATGCTTCAAGTTAATTATATATGTTAATAAATTTATCTTCTACTACACACCTAATTTTTTTTTAATAATCAGTGTTTTCCTTATAATGTTCATACATATTATTGATAAATAGTATAATAACAAGAATTATATACTATCTGCTTGATTTACAACCATTATAATTATTATTTATAAATAATATTATGACATAAACATTATAAAATATGTTTAGTTTTTCTTAAGGTGATACATGGGGCAGAAAAATTTTGAAAAAATAATAAGCTAGAAAAAAATATTAATATTTAAGAGTAGCACATTAAAAAATATAAGTCATTCTTTAGAGGTATCCTCCTATTAAAATGGCTGTGGGAATACCTTGAAGGAAAAAAAGTTGTTCCTTAAATTTTAATTTATATAGGGCAACACATTTTAAAATAAAACAAGTTATTATTTATATATATTGAAAGAATTTAAAATTATTAGTTTACTTTTATATTCTATTTGTCTATCATCTCGTTTCGTAATTTAAGGTACTCCAAATAATTTTTGACTGAAAAAGAAACTTTAAACAATTAAGTATGACAATAGTTTTAAAATATTTTATGAAAATAAAAAAATTTAAAATAAACATAAATATAAATCATATTGATTAATCTATCTCTTATTTTATTAAGGTGTTTTTTTTTACATAAGTGTTTGAAATATTATTTTAGCAAACTTATGTATTTAATTTTTTTAAAAAAATAAAATAAATAAGTTTGTATAACTAATAAATTTCAAATATGAATAAAAATTCAAAATAATATATAATAATGGTATTTTGGTTCAATATATATGACTTAACTATCAATTAATGGCTAGATAAATGAAAATAAAAACTTAAAAGTAAAAACCATATTTTTGTTTTGTAACTCTTGACTATTAATTTTAAAATAAATTTGTATAAATTTTAAAAATAGAAAAGAAGTCTTTGTAATTAAAATAAAATAGAGAAAAAACCAGTATAATTTACTTTAAATATTAAAAAATGATGGAACTTACTGATGACAAACAAATGATAAAATTTTTATGTACAGAGCGACGAGGGGTAAGAATCATTAATATTAAGAGATATAATTAATTTATGATTAAGTTAAAGATACTTTTTGAGTAAAATTAAAGAGTAAAAGTGATTATTAACCTTTTTCTTGAGCTTCAAAAACAAATATCTGCATGCCCGTGAATATTTCAAGAAGGGTCAAGTGGTCAACTGCTAGTTCTTTTTTTCCCCTGTACTGTGTCTTGTAGTTTGCCAGACGGGCTTATTAGATTTTTTATTTTTTTTAATTGCAGGCCCATTTCTTTGTAATCGTTTTACCTTTATAAATATATTGACTCAAGTTCAAAAGGAAAAAAAATAAAATAAAAGAGATCGATGCCTTTTGCTTATGTGACCCTACCAATGGTGAGTTCTCCCATTAAAATATAAAAAATCAAATGAATCATCTACACGTTATAAATTCGATTATAAATTTTAAATTACAAAAACAATTGAATAAAACAATAAAGACCAGAATTTTTTTTTATTTTGATTTTATCAGGAACACTTGGAGCTAAGAACGTAAATTGGACTAAGATCATGAACCAAATGGTTTCCAAACAGTGAAGAATTTACAAATAATTATTATAAGAAATACATTTAAAAAATAGCAAGATAAATAAAACCAAACTTTTGTCTTGGGCCTCAAAGGCCGAAACTAAAAGAATATATTGATTGTGAAAAATATGTCAATTGGGTCTATACGTGTACCGGACGTAAGTGCATAGTTTTATGATCTCCCTTCTTCTGTCTTTCATCATTATTCTTTTAGGTCAAACTTTTGAACGCAACGCTATTTAAAACAAAAACAACTTCCACCAACGTGCTTGTTCGTCGAATATAGCCATGCAAGATTAATAAATTAGTGCCCGCAAATAAACAAAACAAAAAACAAAAGGGCAACTTGAAGTATTAATGCGGCTGTTTTACAAAATAAATAAAAAATGAAAATGATCATTTTGTCTGACAGAACGTGCGACAGAAGATGCACGTTTCTAATGTTGGAACTTTCATTGAAATCGTTTCCTTACCGAAACTGTGGAAGAGAACATGAAGCTTCCTTGGTATGAATCTTTGTCGGACAGAGGGATTTGAATCTCCTTTTAGTCTTCCAAATTTTTGTATGTTGAAAACAATACTATAGTTCTATTTTGTTACTAAAACATAATTAAATATCAAAGTGGATCAAATCACTCCCTCTCTTTCTTATATGTTTGATGGTATGATACACTCATTTTGAAAGTGAAATTTTCGGATGAATTAGGTTATGTATCATATATAATTAGACGAAACTATTGGGAGATGGATGATCATATATATATTTATATATATGTTTTGAAAGAAAATCCCACGTTTGAAATGCATGTTTATGAAATATATGGCAAAGGTAACAGATCACACATTCAGTGTATGCGAACCTCCCCTTCTGGCGTGTGTAACTTTGTTGCAAAAATAAGACATACCAAATATTTTTTTTATTTTATTTTGATCGAATTTTTTCTAGCCACATATATAAGATGTCAAATGCACTATTTTATAGAATTTTAATCATAAATTTCAAAATTATAAGAGTTCTCTTATAAATATGAAGTAAAAAATTATTCTATATGACCGTAACGTGATTCTTTTAAGAGGTCTATATAAGACATATCATTAAAAAAAAAAAGATAAATGTTAACAAGGACGTTGATTTTAGTGGAAGGAATTGTGATAATTTAAATACTAAGTATTTGAATTTCAGTCCTTTTGAATATATAAAATGACCCTGTGAAATATAGTTATTTCATATTAAATTCAACTACGTTTAAATCTAGTCTAGTAATGTATTGGATATGAAATAATGATATAAAAACAATGATAAATATGAAAATTGAAAGTCTATATATGTTTATTAAAATATTTTTTAACTAAAAAAACAAAACACACACAAAGAGGAAATTAAAATATTTTGAACAAATTCATAAATAATTGAAAATATAAATGAAAAGGGCCAATTGCATAGAAAATGGTAAATTGGTAAAATTAAAACAATATGCAGATCTCCTGTCCTGTCGTACGTGTTGACCTAATACTAAACGGAGGAACAGACCCAGATGAGGAGGTCACGGACGGCGTCCAAAAAACGGCAAACACTTGTGTCGTTTCAAGGCTTTCCCAATAACGGCGTGACAAGCAGCACATGATCATCCCTCAACATCGCACGTGACATAGAAGCAAGTAACATGTTCTGGCAACCAAAAAAGAGAAAAGCATAT